TCCTATTGAAGGATTAAAGCTATTTTTTTCTTTGGCACCTCCAAGCCAAAGGAAGACAAGGTCCACTACGCATCCTCAGAGTCTAACTGGATGACTCATATTCGAGCTTACCTAGAGGAGGGCATTCTCCCAGATGATCTGGTGAAAGCCAGAAGGTTGAGGATGAGAGCATCTAGGTATGTCATTCTGCAAAACACACCTTTACAAAAAAAAGTTATTCTCCCCCACTACTCCGCTGTCTCACCCCTGAGGAGGCCGACTATGCCATGAGGGAGATCCATGAGGGAATATGTGGGAATCATTCAGGAGGACGTGCAATAGCCCATAAAGTAGTCAGACGGGGATATTATTGGCCCACCGTAATTAGAGATGCCCATAACTTTGTCAAAAGATGTGATAAGTGCCAACGCTTTGTAACTGTGCCCAGACAGCCGCCAGAGGAGTTTACCACCATTCGGAGCCCCTGACCTTTCTCCATGTGGGGGATCGACATTCTAGGTCTCTCCCTATGAGTCGAGGCCAGTACAAGTTTGTAGTCATAGCCATCGACTATATCACTAAATGGGCAGAAGCTGAAGCCTTAGTCAGAATCACAGACCAGAAGATAAAAGAATTTATGTGGAGGAGTCTAGTTTGCCGCTTTGGTATACCGCATGCCATTATAAGTGACAATGCCAAGCAGTTTGACAACAAACTCTTGAACAACTTCTGTGCAGACTTCTAGATCAAATAACCCCACTCCAGCCCTGCCCATCCATAAGCGAATGGGCAAGTAGAGGTCATTGTTAAGACCATACTCCGTAACTTGAAAGCCAGACTGGAGACTGCAAAAGGTAAGTGGACAGACGAACTCCAAGGAGTTCTATGGGTCTATCGGACGACACCAAGAAGTCCTACGGGCGAGACCCCTTTTTCTCTAGCCTATGGGACAGAGGCAGTGATACCTGTTGAAATAGGGGTACACTCCCATAGGGTACAACACCATGACCCTACCAATAATGAAGAAGGTTTGTGCATCAACCTCGACTTGGTGGAGGAGGAGAAGGAGATAACCAAATTTAGGAAAGCAGAGTACAAACGTCGCATGACCAAGTACTACAACTCAAGGGTGAAGCCTCGTGCCTTCTTACCTGGAGACCTGGTCCTCAAGAAGATCATCTTATCTACCAAGGACTCTTGGGAAGGAAAGCTGAGACCCAACTAGGAAGGACCCTACACGGTTACAGAGGTGGTAAGGGCGGGTACCTACAGAATCCGAAATTTTGAAGAAAAGGTCTTGACCCAGCAGAGCAACAAAATAAATATTACCAGTAGTTGGGGGCAGTGAGTTATAAGTTGGCGGTCGCCATTTAGACTTTTTACCTTTTGGATAATTTCCTATGTTAGTCAATTTTTTATGTCGGTCGATTCTCTTCAAACATTTAATTTGAATGATGGAATAAAGTTTTGCAATATTTTCTTAAAAAGAAGATTGTATTTCATTCAAAAATCATGAAACCTTTACAAGAAATATATTTCATTCAAAGTCTATGAGACCTTTGCAAAAATATAGAAAATAATCTATCAACAAAAAGCACAAAAGTGCCACCTCGCTATCAATGCTCATTGCCTCTGCTCCCATTGCTGGCATCCTCCTCATCGATCTCCGGGGGCTCGTAAGATTGAAAGCAAGAAAAGTTATAGACAAGGAATGCTGCTAACACCTTCCTCCTAAGCTCATCGTACCCGCAATGAAGGCACTGACCCTAGTTCTCTCAGCAGCAACCCTTGTCCTCCTCATCTCCACTTCTGCCCTGGTAGCTCTCTCAAGTGCTACATGAAGGTCAGCCTCAACTCCTGTGTGGCATCCTCTCTTGCCTGAAGCTCAAGTCTCAGTTGCTTTGCGGCATCCTTTCGTGCATGTAGTGCAAGCTCCGTGGTATCTTCTCGTGCTTGTCGCTCAAGCCTAAGCCACTCCTCAGCGGCCTCATGTGTCTGCCTCTTCATTGCCTGACCATCAACTGTCTCCCTAATCTTTAAGGTGTTATTAAACAAGCAGGGCAGGGCAACAGCCACCTACAGGCGTTCAAAGATGAAAACACAAAGAAAGTCATAACTAAGCTAAGACATGACAAAAAAAGCCAGATACAAAGTAGGAGTACAGAACATACCAAAACAAAGCCCTCTACAATGGCGTTGACCACGCTCTTCGGACCTCGAGAGGCCACCTCTTGAGCTTTGATGATAGACACGAAATCGCAAAGTTTCTCCCATGCCAACCTCATGTCCTGTAGCATGGACCCCGAGGCATCACCTACAGCAGGACATATTGACAGACCCTGAGTCCTGGCAAAAGACGACACGGAGCCTCAGCCCCCGCAGTAGTGCTAGAACCATCTCGGGGAGGTGAGGGGACATCAATCAAAGAGGGAAGGGGTGTAGCATCGAGCTCTACCTCTATGTGATTAGCCTAGCCCGTGGAGCACAGAGAAGGACTAGGGGCACTAGACTTCACCCTCTTAGTAGGAGGAGGAGACGCCACTCTAGAGGCACGCAATGACCCCACTAACGACCTATCGATAGGGGCACCTGCAGAATCAATGTAAGCCAAAAATCCTACATTACTGTGTTTTCAAAAAGACAAGTAGAGAGGTCAATACCTTTCTTCCTCGGCCTAGAAAGAGCAATGGAAACACCAGCTGTCGACATAATCTCAGAAAACTCCTTCGTTGGATTGTCATGAACCATTTGGAGCATTCTTTCCTGATCCGTGGATAAAGTCAGCGGAGCTACAAGAATAGTCACACTATAAGAGCAAATACTTGAGGATTAAGACAAAAGTTATAAGTAAAATTCTCACCTAGCTTGGTCTTCGGGATTGTATCCCATCGAGTGGGCACCATGCTGCGATCAGACTCGGAAGCCCACTCGCCTCCAGCGAGGAAGAATTTTCTCTTCCATTTATGAAGATCGGACGTAAGCCTTGCAATGAACTTGCTCGATCTCAGAGCAAAGCGGTACCACCCGTGGTGGGGAGTTGAGTTCTCTAGAAGCACATATGTAGCTAGAAATTCTTCGAATAACGGAGGGACAGTAGCATTGTGCACCTACCGTCACAATGCAAAAAATGCAGAAATCACCCTCCAACCATTGAGAGCCAACCTCCTTGGAACCAGTGACAAAATGCCCGAGAACTCGACATATAGGCCCGGGAATAGGGAACCGCATGCCCGCGTCCAACATGCCCTCATAAACAACAATCTCGTCCAAAGAGTCGCAGTATGCAGACTCGTTGGACTCAGCACAACGGCAAGTCACGCAGGGTGGAATACGATATGTAGACACTATGGCAGCAATGTCATCATCACAGTCAAGGGAACTAAGTATAGAAGCTACCATGGAACCATTGCCTCCCTCAGCACTTGGACCTCCATCAGGATCCCCAGTAGTCTCCCTCTTGCCTGGATGAGCAACCGCAAAAACAAGTTCAGACCATTGTAAAGAAAATAATAATGTCAACCGAAGAGTAAAAAGAATATTGAGAAACATACCTCATGAGCTCATATTGTCCAAGCCATTGATCATCCGCTTCATGGCCTCATGGAGAGGAGACTGAACCATGCTTGGAGTACCGTATAGGGAGCCTAGGGCACCGCCCAGTGCACCATGGGCGCCGCTTAGTCCATAACAGGCACCTCTTGTCTCTTTTGAGGACCCATTTTGCAGCTCACCCACGCCTAGGGTCTCTTTTGATGCACTGAAAGCATTAATTGAAGTCTCATTGCTCGTACCCAATCTCGCACCAAGAATACCGAAGGATCTTTCGCCAACTGTGGATGCCTCAATGACACTGCGACTGACAACGGAGACCCTAGGACCAAGGCTGTCTATAGGACATGCCCCTTGGGCGTCGCCTCCTCCTTGCTACTCTCCTGTATGAGCCTTCAAGCTCCTAGTCCCCATTCTCACTTTGATTTGGGAGAAAAAGATTAGAGGAAAAAACTAAGGGAGAAATGGTGGTGAGTAGTGTTGAATAGTGAGAAAGGGTGTTGAATAGTGAGAAAGGGCGTTGAATAGTGAAAAATAGTGTTGAATAGCGAGAAAGGGTGTTGAATAGTGAGAAAGGGTGTAGAACAGTGAACTTTATGGTGATGAACGGTGAACTCTATGATGATGAACCGTGATAAATGGAGTTGAATAGTGAACCCTTGAAAGGCCTTTAAATTGGGAATGAATGACTTCTTGAGGAAGCCTTGATAAAGCTTCTTGAGGAAGCTTGATGAGTTAGCTTCTTGGGGAAGCTCAATGAAGTAGCTTCTTGAAGAAGCTTGGAGGGACAATCTTTGAGAAAAGCCTCCAGAAGTGAGAAAAGAATGAGGACGGTGAGAATAGTGACCTCTATTTATAGGCGAATAACCAATGTAAAAAAAAAATTGGTATCGAAAAGTTCAGCGAGTCCTTGAGGATGAAAAATACCATGGGGAGCAAGAAAAATTCTGACTCACCCAGATGAAGATGAAGCACATGCCCACAACACCTTTATCTCACAAAAAAGTCAGAGGTTTGGGGTATTGGGGGCATATGATGAGCCCGAATTTGACTGGGTCAATCCCAATTTAAAATAAACTGAGAAAGCCCAAAGAAGAGCCCAATCAGAACTAGGTCAACCCAGAGGAGGAAGTCCAAAACACCAAGAAGGGACTAGTGCTCAAATGAGTCAAGAGGCCAGCACCTAGAAAAAGGGGGCGCCGCCCATAGCCCTTAAGAGGGCGTCGCCCAAGGGTCCGCAATAGGGCGCCGCCCATGTGGTCTCCAAGGGGCGTCGCCCATGGGCTGGGTCTTTGCCACGTCTCCGTCCTCTGCTTTCTCCTCCTCAGTTTTCCTAAGCACCAGTGGAAGTACTTCGACTCAAGTCCAATACACTCCAACTCAAACCTAGAGGATCAAGCCCAATCCAACTCAGTATCTTCCTCCGACTGAATAAGGGCACGGGGGAAAGAATATTGGGATACATAAATCTAATCCTATTAAAATTGTACTTACCAAAATGGTAGAAACTCATTCCTTACGTCACCGTCTTAGTGAACTTATATATTGTAAATCCTCTACACATAGAAGGCATCACCTTGAAGTCTCTACATATCTTCCTAAGCACATTGTTCTTTCTCTCTTTAAGCATTGCAATACTCCCAGAACTACTTTCCCAATCACATTATTCATCAATAAAAGACTTTGGCTACCGCTGCCGTTCCCGAGAATGGATTAAGACATCTGGACCGAACTATTATAAATCTCTTTGCTGGCTCTTTATTCATTATTTTATCATTAATTACTTATTTACTGCTCATCGATTGCCCCCGTTCATATTATTGGCTGTTGATTTTGTACAATACTAATTTGTGCATCATAAGGTACTACCACAATTCTCTAAGAATCCCAATTTTTTTAATTGAAAATAAAAAAAAATGAATATAACATCATGTTTGGTTATAAACGGCAAAACGATAAAACAAAATAAAGGAATTTGTCTTGCTTTTGGACTACCAAAATTGAGCACAAACGTAAAGAAAGTATAAGCACATGTGTTCTAATATATGTTATTAAGTTTTATAAGCTTTGATTCTATTGGTATATGTTAGATATAATGGATTAGTCAACTTTGTAGGACGGTATAATACTAAAATATAATATTATTAATATTTAAATATATAATATAATTTATTGATCTAATAGCATAACGGCTGACATATTAAATTACGTCAAACTTTTAAATACATAAATATTACTCAATGCTAACATAGAATGAAAACTACCAAAATTTTAGGATACATTACACCTTTGGGATTCACTTATCACTCTTTCGGTAAAATCTAAACTTACAACACTGAAAAAAAAAATTGGTCACTTTTCGGTACAATATGACAAAAATGAACAGCGTGGTAATCTAACTCGAATTCATATCCCTTCTAATACACTTTTTTTTTTTAATTTTTTTCTTGACATATTATTTTTAAGTGAAACTTTCAACTACATCCCTTTTAATTCACCATATTTTCAATGACATCCTCTATATTATAAAAAAAAACCACTATTTATATTTGAACATCATTGACACCCCTGTCATTAAACCACTATTTATAACAAAAATAAATTATCTAAAATACTAAAATTGTCCCTACATAAATCCTAAACAATCTTTTTACATAAAATTCGAACCGATTAAAATTTATTTTTTTAAATATTAAAATTCTTTTTTCTACATATTAAAATTTGAGTCCATTAAAATTCGATTTGAATTGATTAAGTTTTATTTTTTTACGTATTGAAATTCGAATTGATTTGAGCTCTACTTGAGTTGTTAGTCTCGATTACAAGTCTATTCGAGTTAATTATTAAAATTCGATTCAAATTAATTATAATTTATTTTTTTATATATTAAAATTGAAGTCGATTAAAATTTATATTTTTATATGTATCAAAATTCAGGCCGATTAAAATTTAATACGAGTTGATTAAAATTTGATTTGAGCCTCGAATAGAATTTTAATCGGTTAAAATTTTAATAAGTAAAAACATATAATTTTTTCTACTCAAATTTTAATACATAAAAAATAAATTTTAATTAACTCTAATTGAATTTTAGTTGACTCAAATTTTAATAAGTTCAATTTTAGTTGGCTCAAATTTTAATAAGTAAAAAAATTTTAAAAATAGATAAGTTCTTATTGAAGATGTCTATCTAGAGGGGGTATATATAAAGTTTTTCCTAAAATATATCGTGGACAATTTAGTAAAATTGTATTTTAATTAATACCTTTAATCTGACAAGGGATGTTAGTGAAAATTCAAAAAATAGAAAGAGGTGTTATTAAATATATAATAAAATAGAAGGGGTGTGTCTGAATGTATGGCAGACGATGTGCCAAAAAGAAAATTAAAGAAAAAATATAAGTTGAGACACTTTTTAAATCTTTGTTCCCACCCCATTTTATTTTCTTATTTCAAACTATTAAGTTCACTCCATCTATAACCCATTAGTTACTAAACTCACCCCTGAAATCCTTGTTGTCATCCCATTTAATCCTCTTGTTTCAAATTATAAAACTCACCCCATCTATAATCCCCCACCAGTTACTAAATTTACCCCCTTAAATCTTTGTTCCCACTCCATTTAATCCTCTTACTTTAAACTACTAAATTCATCTATCAATTACTAAACTCAGTTTGTATATATTGACTAATTAAAAACTATATTCATTCAATTTTATTTTAACCTACTATATAGGTAATGATCAAAATTTTATTTTGGTACGAAAAATTTTAAAAACGTAAAAAAAATAAGTAAATTATTTATTATTTATTAGTCAAAATATATTAAAATATTTCAAAATATTTCAAAGACATTGGTCAAAATATCTCAAAACACCTC